AAAGAAGCAGCTGGTGAGCTTTAAGGTTTCAGAGAGAATAGCGTGAGCTCAAACCATTTTCTCAGGTATCACATTGACTTATCAATCAAGCTTCACTCTGTTTCTCTCTGCACACATTCACATTCTGTGATCAATGTTATGATTAATCAAACAGCACCACACAGCTCCCTAATCAATCTTATATTGCTTACAGTAAGTTTCAAGCCGGGCATCTTTGCAACAAAGCAACAGTCAATCCCATGCAGGCAGATCGACTTTGTAGGAAGGCAGGGGAAACAATCCTACCAGCATACAATATGTTATCTCAGTACACAGCCTAGTCTTAAGTAGAATTGCACAAACGCGTCAAAACGCCTTAAATTTAACAACAACAAACATCAAGAAAATGAAAATTGCTCATTTAGACAGGAACAATGGAAAGAAATAATTTGCTTATCTCCTTCTTTACCCATTTCACATTCAAAGTCATACTTATAAATTATATTTTTTGTCCTAAATTCACCTTTGTTAGTTTATGAATAGTAAAAGCTTTGTGGTAAGTACCACATTTTGCAAATGAAGGCCTCTAAAGTATAAGTTTGACAAACATTTTAGGCATTGTAATTTTAAAATCCTTTATTAAATAATGGACAACCAACGCCTTTCTACTTTACAAGTCTTCATAATCCTGATGTTGTATTTTCAGTATAAAGATGTCAGCCATAGTATATGCCCAGAGAATTGTTTTGTTGCTGGGTTTACGTTCCTCCTGATGCAAATTGGAAAAAATGCGCTACAGGAATGCACTACTGCTTTTGTTTTGTTTGTCTTGTGTTGAAAATGGGAAACAACTGTACAGTATGTCGTTGTGCATCCCTGTGTCGCATTGTGACAATAAATTAGCCTTGAATCCTTAAATGGGTCATGTGACTTGTGTTACATGGCATGAGAGGACTGCTCACTTAACATTTATAAAACATGAAAGTGAAAATAATGAATGCAAACGTGTACTGAAAAAGACTTATATACATATACAGGCTAAAAAAAACGGTACAGATATCAAAACACAAATTAATAAATGGGAAAGTAACATATAGGCTAATTTAAGCTATAATACTTACAAATAAAATGGCAATAAAGAGGGGCAAAAAATTACGTCAACAATAGTGTAAATATATACATCTATATCTATATCTATATACATAGATATATTTACATATATCTTCATTTACATTCACATTTACATTTACACATGCAGGAAAAAAACAGTTTTCATCATCTTTCTTATTCCCAAAATACAAAATCACATTTTACTGCATATGAATCTGCCTCTAACCTTAAATTGAGTTATTGTATTGTGACCAACACCATCTGTCCCATCCCAACAGTTATCTTCAGCTATATTGTAATACGATATAATGCAACGATGTTTGATTCCCTGGAGGATTCTGCTTCCAATGGCTCCAGGTATACTTTGACCAAGAGTTAGTTCAACATTTAAGTGAAGTGGGTTTCTAGACAGAACAACTATAGGCTCCCAGTAGAGAGAGCAAAGAGGGAGAGGGAGAGGGAGCGATTTGAAGGGGTACTAACTGAAGTTGAGGGCCAAGTCCTGGGAAACAGTGCCATCTATTGATTCTGCTTCTTGCGTGCTGTAATGTTGCAGCGATGCATGCTTTGTGGGGTTTAACACACATACTACACTCAGCAAAGGTTCAACATTTCTTTCCCCAGCTATCATGTATGTACTTTCCCCTGCGTGTTATTCCTCCCAGACACAAGCTTTGCTCAATATTCAGAAACTTACTGCAAATACCGCAATGCAGGTTTGCTGAACACTGGGGAATATTGATGAACAACTCAAGGTTATCATATTCAATGGTTATTTTAGATTATTGCTATTTTATGAAGGTGTTTTTTTATTCTATTTGTTCAGCTTTTTGTCACATTTTGGATTTTGTGTTAATGTCATGCCTTGGCAACATTTTAACAATATCGAATTTTTTTAGGGATCAGGGTGATCGTGTGCATCTAGTAAAAGGGTAACTGTTTAGCAGGTTTTTTCTTCATTATGTTATATATATATATATATATATACTGGTATAAAGACATTTTAAAGTGTTCATTGTGTACAGTATTCATCAAACCTTGCCCTATGAAGACATATTCTTTGTCTTCCATCAACCTCCTTTTACACCAGCCTCCACTTAGTTGTGCCCACAGGAGGAGTTATCATTGTTGACGAATACATTAAAACACACTTACATCTGCTTACAACTACAATGCAGTGTGTTATAAATAATGTATTAAATGTTACTTTGTGTAAATGCTAAATGCTTAAAGTAAAGTGTAATAATGTATTTATTTGATGTCGATCTGTTATTATACATTTCCAAGTCTACAACAGAACTGGCTTTTAGAACATTTCCAAAAACCTGGAACATGGCTGACAAAAACCGACACTTAATCTGATTTTAAGTCTGTTATGACCTTGTGAGCACAAGACCATAATTCTACAGGATACAATCACCAATTCAATAACATTGTAATGACATTATAATTTGCCTATTTTAGATTAGAATGAAAGCATTGCTGGACGGAGGATCATTTTCTCCCTTTAAAAACCTTGAGCCACAGAAAATGTGTCATCAAAGCGCACTCACACCCCACAGTGACTGGACCTTGAGAATTCATTCAACAGCTACTACTGTATCACAAGGTTTACAAGGCTGTAAATGCAACAGCAGACGCGCTCATACGGGAGCATAAACTTACAGAGCGGCTCTGACATCACAGCGGTCTGTAGGAGTTTGTGTCAAGATTAGATGAGAGTGGTCGTACTCACCAGCGCCGCGGTTGATATTCACAGTGAAAGACAACCGTCAATGCCCAACTGCTCACAATGCTAATTTCTGACACATCTCTGTGGATTTGATGCCAGATCTGTGGTGACATGCAGTGACCAGTGTAGCTGTGCATCATAGTTCACATTTGGGTAATTGTTGTATAGAAGGTGGTAATAGCGCAGTTAATACTTGAGTCATCCGCGTGTAAAAAACGCAGTCCTCTCCACACAGTGAAATAAAGCCTACGGGTTCATATTGCAGGTTTCTGTCTCCTTTAACTTGTGAAACATTGTTGCCATCTTGTGAAAACCATGTATCTTAACATGTTTTCATGAGCTTCGAGACCCTGTTTTTAGCTTTATGACAATGCATTTTTAGATAGCCTAATCCAATGGGTTTTTAAAAGTGTATTTAGTTTAAGAAGTGGGATGAGCTTGTCAACCACATCGAGGATAGTTTGGAATATTTAAAGTGGCGTTGAATGAGTCAGAGCATTACCTACAGCAGCTAACCATTGGGACAGACTTCCAAATGGTTAGATTCAATTATTAAAATATTTTTTGGTAATTTACAAAGTTATCTAAATTTGTCCAAGAATTCACTTACATAAAAACCATAGTTATGCGAACAAGGTATAATTTTAAATAATCAGTTATAAAGCAATTAGCTCCTTCTATACTACTTAGAAAACCCAGTATGAACTGGTACCAACATTTTCTTATCTTTTCTCCTCCATGTTTTGCGCTAAAGGACGAAATATCACATGTTTAGCATCACTTATTTTCACCCCTCATCCCCCCTTTAACACCATCATGGGTGCTCCATAATAGTGCTATCTGATGAGCCAGTACCTTATGACAGCATGTACAGCACTAGTGCCTTTGATGGTTTGGTACATGCAGCTTCTTTGAATGATGAGGCCACGGGGCCAGTGATTTGTCTGGGGAGGAGCAGGATGTCTTGAATGAGATCAGGCCCGAGCAATGCCTCGCTCTGACACATGTCAGCCTCCATTAGTTTTGACTTTTCAATGCGATGACCTCTTCAACTGTAATCTACCAATACCAGCTCTGACAGATTAACAGTGCTATTAATGTCTGGACGCTTTGGGGGCATCTCAATGAGAGAGGTGTGTTTCAAGGCCAAAAGTTGCACTGACACGTACAGCCACTGTGATGGTTTGATAGAAACATATGCAATACATGCCTTGATGTTATATTATAGTAATTGCAAACTCACTGACTTAAATAAAGTCATCTTTTTTTTAGTCATTCAGCTCGCTCTTCCCTGCAGTCGGCTCATCGCTGCATTCAGGCTCAACCGTGCTTCATTCTGGTCTTTCCCCTGATGGTAGAGAATTATTTTTCCCCTCTTTCCTTTGGAGTCTGAAAATTCATCTCTTCATGAAATACCTCATGTCATCTTCGCCTCACTGAATCATTTCTCCATACTCGTCCTCCTGTCCACTCCAGTTTTTTTTCCTCAAAACAAAATCGCTTCCATTGCTTCGGTCCCCCATGTATATTATTATGAGGTCATCGTAAGGGAAGTCTGAATAGAGCCTTCCATGTTAAATGGTGATGAAGGTAAGGTGGTTTAGGGTTTGGAGCTCATTAAAGTCAATCTCAACAAGTTGGTTAAAGAACCACAAGATGAGCACGTCTCTTTACCCGAAGTATATAAATAATGATTAAATAATGTGGATATTAAAGACAAAAAATGAGACCCTCAATTTTAAGTGAGCAGTACAGCTGCAGAGAACAGTAGGTGTAAGAGCCCCATCTAGCTGTCGAACATACATAGTGTTGTTTAAAAGCACTACTGTACTAATATAATATTGTCTTTTCTAGTCATTCATTTATTGTCAACATCAGTATACCAAACACTGTCAATCTGAAGATTTTAAAACCCTTTAAGTACTATAATTATGACAGGTCGTCTGGTCCTTTTTGTCCTTTTTCTTCAATAAATGTGTCAGAAAATGTCCTTAATGTAAATTATTTTGCTCTTTTTTTTCCAGGAGAAAAGTAACTTTCAAAATCTGAAAAAAGTATTTGTCATTATTATATGTTATAAATGCTTAAAACAGTGTGTAATAACAAAAGTAAAAAAACACACATTTGAATTTTCATCAGGCTTCTCTTTATTTTAAATGTACATGAAGAAAACTTTTGAGATTACAAAAATGAAACTCAACCTATTTAACATCTTCTCAAACTGTTTTGTTTGCCTGGAGCTTTCAGTGTCCATGCTACGGGTTGTTACACGTGTCCATGTCGAGGCGTTTTTTTAGTAGCAGTGGAAGTCCCTGAAGCAGTTCCTTTCCAGCTGAAGACAGAGCCCAACATTGCAGTCCATACACATCCAGGGTGTGCTTCTATGGCAGAGAGTGCACTGTTTCCTCCCCAGACTTGCCTTCTGACTTTTCTCAGTGTACTCTCTTTTGTTGGTGGGGACAGGAAAGTGGCCTTGAGTGGAGGGCGTAGGTGGGCCAGCCAGTGGCACGCCGAGCAGCTTTGCACACAGCTCCTCCTGGAAAGCCTGGCGTGTCATTGGCTTCCGCTGCTGCCTCATGTGGATAATGAGCTCCTTGTGCACAATAAAGCTGTTAGTGACAGCAATGTCCAAAAGGTGCTGAAAAACGGTCATGGGCCATCTCCTGGTTTTTCTGTGCACTAAGTTTGTTCCCAGCATCTGGTCAGAGGTGTCCACTCCCCCCATGTACTTGTTATACTCACCCACAGCTGTGGGTCTGGGGACAGGGACCCTCTGACGGTGCCCATCATCGGTCTTCTGCCACCGCAGGACAGTCTCCTCTGTGTATACAGGATGGACAGTTGTGCACATGGAGACCTCCCTGGCGTCCATCCATTTTACAAAAAGCAGGTCACCATCCCTGATCCACCTGATGGAGCCTCTCTTTGATTTTCTGTCCAGGGCATTCTCCTGAGTTGTTGGGACACCAACTCTGCTCTGCCTGTAAGTTCCACAAGCCCCAAACCCCTGCTGGCTCAGATGACGGAACAGGAGAGGGCTGGTGTAAAAATTGTCACAGTAGACAATGTAGCCACTCCCCAGATAGTCCTTGTTCACCAGCTCCGCCACCACGTCAAATGAACGCCCCTTCCCTGAAGCACCGTGGTTCTTATCTGTGTACAGCCTGTAGTCAACTGTGTACCCATTCACATCAGCCAACACATAAAATAGTAGCCCCCACCTTGTCGGCTTGGCTTTCATATACTGTTTCATTTTGATCCTAGCCTCTGTGGCAACCATCCTCTCATCCACCGAGATGTGCTGCTTTGGATGGTAAATGCTCATGCAGCGGTTTCTGATTATATCCATGAGAGATCTGACCTTTTGCATGGGGTCATAGTCCTTTGTCCCCTTTTTCGTGTCATTGACCGCATCCTCCTCTGGATCACTCATGTGCAAGTTGGAGGTGATTGCTCTAAACCTGTCTCTTGACATGACTGTAGCCAGAAAGGGCACCTTAAAAATGATATTCTTCCTCCAAAAGTCTTCCATCTTTGGGAGCTTGCACACAGACATAAACAACAACACGCCCAGGTATTTTGTAAGCTCCTGTGGGGTGATGTTAGTCCAAACAAACTTTTTCCCCATCCCCAAATTTTTCTTTGCATATTTGTTTGTGTTTGCACACAAGAGCTTGAGTACCTCGGCGTCAAAAAAATTAGCAAATATATCACCTGGCGTTTGGGGGCCATAGGTGAGAGGGGGTTGGGGCCCAGGCCTACGCTTGGGGGTGAATCTGGGTGGGTGAGGGTTGGCAATGTCAGGGTCTGCCACCGTTTTCCAGGCCTCTCGGCGAATTGGTGACCGGCTATGAGGTGCATCACCAGCAGCATCAGCACCTCTACTGCTTCGGCCACGGCCACGGCCACGGCCACGGATCCGACTCCGTTTCCACACTGTATCACTGCTGGTACTGGTGGTTGACCCTTCATCAGAAGAATCTCTAAAAATATAAAGATATATCATAAAATTAGATAGGATGTATCCAAAAGAAACCCTTGTGTTTCTAGAAAAACATTTTCAACACTATAAGAATAGGAAAAGTAATAAATAAAGCAAGTTGAGACAAAGCCAATAAGAAAAAATACACTAGATATCAGTGGCGGCTGGCCAATAGAGGGCCATGGGGCCTGGCCCCACCTTGAGCCACAAAAAAAAATAATAATTATAATAATAATAAATTATACAAATTGTCAATATTTGTGTTTTCGAACTATGGAATGTACCCAGTAATGTGTGTAAAATATGATATTTGCGCAAAATATATGCTTTTCCTGCTTGTCCACTCGTCCTCTCCGCCTGTGTGCATGTCTCAGAACGCGCAGCTTGGGGCCAAACGAATGTGGCCCAAAAGAGGCGGGTCTATGAAGCAGTTTAGCCAATTGCTGATTAAATATATAAATGAGTGACATAGAATTTAGCCAATCAGCGTCCTCAAATAGATTCAGATTGGGGCCAAAGTCGTTTGGCCCAAAGCTGCGCGTTCTCGTCAGGAGAAGTCTCTACAGGCGAGCGCCAGTGCGAGCACTACTACCTCCAAGACCCGTTTGAGAAGAGATCTTTGGCGGAGAAACTTCAGGCCAAAGAGCTGATCCCAGATCAGTCTGACCTCACAATCAGACAGCAGACTAGCGGGAAAGGGAAGCAGTACATGCGAAGCTTCTCTACTGAGAAACACGAGAACACCAGGGCACACATGGAGAACTCTGTCAAGCTACATATTAGGCAAAGTGAACATCTTTTCTTCTACATAGTTGTCCTCAGTCTCATCTGCTTAACTTGGTCATGGAGGCATCAACATTTAATTGAGATGGTAAATTAACAGTGAAAACTCACAGTTTACATCTAAATATGTATGTGTGTTTTATATTGTACTGAATATTATTATGATATATATATATATATATATATATAGATATATAGAGATATAGAGATATATAGAGATATAGAGATATAGAGATATATAGATAGATAGATAGATATTATACTGAATTCCCTGTGAGGGTGACTAAAATAAGTTTTGACGTGTTTATCAACGTGTTATTTTCTGCTTTTTTTCGTGTTGGAATAAATGTTAAATATTTAACTGCAAAGTAGTAATGCGTGTTTGATATCTTAATTTGTTTGCATTAAATTATACTGGGACGTTTGCTGAAATTCATTGGGTGTCCCTACCTTGAACATTTTCCACCAGCCGCCACTGCTACATATTGAAAAACATTATTGTAACAAAGCTGGGAATAAATATCCAGTGTATACAAACTGTACTAACGTTACTTACTGTGATTGAGATGGCGACACTCCTGCTGTCTCCTCCTGTCCTTTCCTCTCCCTGGTAGATCTCCTCAACATTTCTCCTTCCACTATTTACAAAATGACGACCAATGAAATCTATAAAAACACGTGTCGAAAAACACGAATGATGGCGAAAACACGGCAAAAAACCCTCCAGAACTCTCAGTAACAATACTAATACCATTATTTACAACACCAACATATTATTTAAAAATAAAACACCGCTAAAATACTCAAACGTTGTACTCTCACTCTCTGCTGCTGCTTTCCTGCTCTGTTCACTTCCACTGTCTCTCCCCCACAGGCAAATCCCGCCACTGGTTTCTCCACTACCGTAATGTACCGTATATCACTGGAAAGCTCCATTCTCAGCTTTCAGAATCCGTTGGAATTACGTCGATAGCGTGAATGGTGTGGGGATTTACGGTAATTTGAATTATACATGTCATTTCCTGTCTCCGGCGACAGTGTTCGTTCTAAAAGGGTCAGAGAAACTGTTGGCCCCTTTTGAGTCCGGGTTTGTATTGCTTCATTGACTTACTAAGTAACTTTTAAGGGAGTGTAAAGTAGTGCTCTACAGTGTGAATTATATCGTTATAACAATGGTGTTAAACCAACATGTTGCAACAACATACTGCAAACAATATTTAAGTTGTATAACCGTCTTTATCACTTATTGCCCCAAAGTGTTTAAAATCAATTTTGCAAGGGATAAATATGCACATTAACAATCACTAAAAGAGGAAAATATATGAACCTGGTAAAATATCAGCTCCATGCAGTTTATTTTTATTCAAAGTTTAAATGTGAAAATATCACAAAAAATACAAAGACTTAACTCGCATACTTTAATTATGACCAAAAGTGGGGAGACACATCCTAAAGCCATTTCTCTGCAGGTTTGTCTGCATGGCTGGTGTAAAATATCACTCCGGCATAAAGCAGCCTGATTGTGCCACAACTACTGTATGCTACACATATGACCAATACATTAAATTAATCAGATTCCAATTCATCCATGTCTCTAACACCACAAGATATGGCAAATTGAACGAGGGATTAAAACTATTACTATATAACTAAATGACTGCATGATGCTACTCAGGCCAGACAAGGTATTGCAGCATCTGCTCACTTGCAGCATCATGCTAGCTGACCTGGCAGCAATAACGGCTACTCTACCTTTAACAAAATGTGAGAGAACTGAGTCATTGTGGAAAAACATGGCCCCTCAGAGTCACTGCTGCCAAATGGTGTAAAACCTGAAGTGACCTGCTGTAATTCAATTTGTCTGCAACGGAGTGCTAGGTTCGTTTCATGAGGTTTCTAACTGTGGCTGGCCCACATTGTCTGGCACCTGTAATACCCCTGTCTTTGATCAACTCAGGCATATGAATCCCTGCTGTGTGCATTTAAAAAAATTTTTTTGCTATGGGCAAACTACCTGGTAAATTATAAATGTATAACTCATTTCTGTTCCGGAGAACACTTTACTTGGTGAGAGATTTACTTGATGAAATTACAGTGGCAGTGTGTGACAAATTTTTATTATCCTCATAAAAAGTGTGCATGCCTCATGGCTGAGGATGATTGTTTTTTTGTTGTTATTGTGATGGTACATATTAGTATTCCATAGATATTGTACATATTTTTCCACCTTAACCTCTGATGAATCATCGATATTCTCAGACATTATGGCCCAACATGTGATGGTGATGGTCAGATTTATGTAGAAAGTACCATGACAAACATGAGACCTGTAGTCTGATAGAATTTGACCTTTATGGGAGACTGACAACTTTGAAGTCAAACCTAAAGGGTCATTTTTCTAGTTTTAACTGCATTTCATGATTTGATGTTTTGGAGATTTTTTGTTTTACGCTTATATAGATATAAAACAGAAGTATAAATTATGTAAAAGTACTTGTAAATGCTGCTAATTGGCTTTTGTCCTGTGGGTTCTTCTGCACCTCTCTTAGAAGCATACCCTAATTATAATGATGGCTTCCCATGCCCCTGTGATCCTGGGAGCTGTGTTGTCAGAGGCAACAGCTCTTGGTAGCGTCTCTGAAGACAAATTGGTCCCAGGTGAGGGCCAGACCACAAGAACAGTGTCTTTGAAACAAAGTAACCTTGCTTGGACTATAAGCATACTCACAGAGCCAGGCCCAGGCAGGCGAAGAAAGTGGGAGGGTACTGCTTGTGGATTTTAGCACTCATGTGGGTGACGAGTTGATGAAGAAACTTGGTATATAGGATGATTGTGAAGAATAGCCTGATCTGAATTGTGAGGAATTTAAGTTTTAAAACATTCCTAGTGATGGATATTATGTGATACAGTGTGTTTACTCGTAGGAGTTAAAACCAAGGAGTGTGGTCATTTTATGCATTAAGTGACTGTAAGAGAGGGGGTTTTGAGGAATGTGCTGCGGGGGAGGGACGAAGGTGGCTGTGAGCAGAGGTGTTTCAGTAGAACAATGGGTCATCAGCCAAGGGGGGGCTCATTGGTCTTCAGCCAATCATTGAGCTGACCGATATGTAATGTGAGACTTTTCAGAGACTTTGGGGGGGAAAAGGAGCTGTGCATCCCCGGAGAGGATCAGACCTCCTCCTGGCCATACCAGTCTGTCGTGTGGCCCGGATGGGGCCTCACTTTCATGATATATATATATATATATATACATTTTGTTATTAATAGTGTGATTCGGTTTGTAATTGTTTTTATGTTTGTTGGATAATAAATCCATTAAGATTTTGACTTAAACCTGCTGTAGTGGTTTGGAGGCGATTGAGAGCACGTGGCTGCAGGGAGGGGGGCGGTTTCTCTCTGTGTTCAAAAGTTACGGCCCTAATAGAACACGGGTCATGTTTTATTATAGGATTTCTGTGCCGTCCTGAGCTGTTGTTAAAAAACGAGGTTCTTCATAATAGTAACCAGTACCAGAACACCAAAAATGATATGCTTTGTAGTGGTATTGTCACATCTGTGGCCTGTGATAGCAAATGTTAGTGTGCTAGTACATTTCGACTGTGATTTAGTTTATGTGCCTTACTCACTAACAAAACTATATGTGACATATGTTTGTGTACTGAGGAGAGTGGTAACAGGACCATATGGGTTTGTTGAGTTCAGAACCTCTGGGAACTGTGGAAGACTGCAGGTCTCCCGCTGCTGCGTGCCAAAAAAGTCAACTGGATCCGGTTTATAATCAAAAAAGTATTTAATAATTAACAGAGGCTAAGACAGTTTCAAACTGAATGACACTATTAATAACTTAATTATTATTCCAATAATATTCCATGAAATATGAGATCCAATCCGAGCCACCCAACAGGCGGGTATGCCTGCTCGGTGGCCGAGCTGCCAATCACAGTCCTTTGTTTCAAGCACGAGTCATGTTTCACATTCCTTAGCCCATCGATCAGCTCAATGATTGGCTGAAATACAATGAGCCCCCCCTTGGCTGATGACCCATTGTTCTACTGAAACACTTCTGCACAGCCACCTTCGTCCCTCCCCCGCTCCCAGCACATTCCTCAAAACCCCCTCTCTTACAGTCACTTAATGCATAAAATGACCACACTCCTTGGTTTTAACTCCTACGAGTAAACACACTGTATCACATAATATCCAGCATGAGGAATGCTTTAAAACTTAAATTCCTCACAGGTTATCTCTGCCTTTGCTTTGATAAGGGGAAGTAACCAAATGGGGGTTTGCAGTTAAAGCAGAGAATGTTTAGGTGTGAAGATTCCCAGGGATAATCAAGGGTAATAAAGACACATGTCTTTGTGTGACAAGGCTCAGAAGAGGAAGGGGATGACTGGAGGGGTCAATGGGGAGCTTGAAACTGCTGATCAATTGTTGTCATGTAAATACCTGATGTTCCCCCCCTGCTGTGTGCTGAGATGGTTAAGAGCAGGAGACAAACTGAACTCTAGGCCAGGGGTTCTTAACCTTTTTGACCTCGGGGCCCAACTTTTCAAGTACAAAGTGTCCCGGGGCCCATTCAAATATTGACACTATTAGTTTAACTAATTGATCTCACTCTTGGTTTGATTTGTATTCAATAACTATAGTGTTACCTGTTCAACTCCACCTCTATTTTGGAGCAAAACCGCCTAAAATGACATACCCAAATTAAAATGGCTGTAGCTTCTGAACCACTGTGACTATATGCATCAAAAGTGTCAGAAAACCTGTAGGTCATATAGAAACAGAGCAGTGGGCCTTTGGAGTCAGTAAAAATTGAAGATTTTTGTCCACATAAAATAAAAAAGTATCTTTCAGTATAAATAACTTCCTGTGGCTGTATCTGTACAGGTAAATTACAGTATAGGGCTGTAACTACACTATCAGTAAACAACTGCCTCAAATTTGAAGAAGTTTGGACAAAGTATGACGATTCTACAGTGTTTCTTCCTTGAAGAGATCCAGGCAGAGCTCTAAAAGGATATTTGGAGACCCAAATGGACACATGGTAACCAAATGATATTCTGACACACTAAAGGTGTTTCTCCCTTGTTGGGTCTATAATGTGTCTTTTTCTGTCGAAATGCTGCAAGATCCGACTTGCAGCGGTTATGGCGACTTTTGTGAAAAATCCATAAGAAATTAAAGAAAATCGATGATTTCTTTGCAAAAATGAGGGTTTTGGGCATGCTGGGATACCAAACACGGCCATGTTTTGTGACGTAGTTTGCGCAAGCAAGCTGTAGGAACGGAACGGAAGGGGAGGGGGTCAAGGACGCCGGCGTCCTCGCGGAGTTGAACAGGCAAAACCCTTGTCAAATAAATGAGATGATACAATGTGATGATCACAAAGACATTTATTTATCATGTGTATGTAAGCCTGCATACACAACAAGAAGCCTGTCTTTCCCACGAGCGTTGGATGTTTCGTCGCTAGGTGTCGCTTTATTTTTGATAGCATTAGCCCACATTCCACACACTGAAAGTGGTAAGAAAGTCAGGATTGTACTTGCGCACACATTTAGACTTTTGGGGGAGGGGGGGTGGGGGTATGGCACCACTGTCGTCTTCATTTTTCTACAGTGTAGTGGTTAAATCGTGTAATGTTTATGATTCATTAAATGATTTAACACTGCTGCCCTCTAGTGGTTAAATCGTGTAATGTTTATTACTCATTAAATGATTTAACACTGCTGTCCTCTAGTGGTTAAATCGTGTAATGTTTATTACTCATTAAATTATTTAACACTGCTGCCCTCTAGTGGTTAAATCGTGTAATGTTTATGATTCATTAAA